CCCTTTGTATTTTTTGTCTTTTTTCGTACTTTTCATTTTCTTAATTTCTTTTTTTTTTTTTTTGTCCCATTCATTTTTTCTATTTTCTTTTTTTTATTCTTATTTTTATTTTTTATTTTTTTTTAAATTTATCAATCCCTTGGTTGTATTTGTTGGATATGGAAATTAGAATAGACAGTTACAGATTTCGTCGTGAAAAGTTACTGGACAGAAAAAAAATTTACCAATCTGAAACATTGCAACATTTTGCAAATCTTTTATTTCCTATAATTGGAAAGATTGTTACTTCTTTATTTTCAAAACATTTCATAAAATTCATTTTAAAAATTTCTCACTGGAACGAAGAGATGGTGGACATTTTATCCTCTCCCGACAAGATCAATTCTCCAACGCTTTGTCTTTCTTTAATTACGGCCGCACGTGCGTCTGCATGAAGCTTTACCGCTGCTGTTCTCTGCGTGTGCGGCCGTGAATTCGGGTAGCAGCAGGAGATAATGGTCGCAGCGGGCGTAGAAAACCGGGAAGTGTGTAGTTAATGAGTCTGCTAATTTTAGATGGATCAAATGTATCATAACTAACTGAAAAATTCATTCCGATCTACTACCTCGCCTGTCCGTATTCTTCGACGTATGAATGCATCATCGTTCCAGTGTACTAAATAACCTGTCACAGATATTGCATATTGAAAGTAATCATTTTGAACTTTTAAAATAGATTTAAATTTAGCCAGATTAATCTATTTCAGGTGATGAGCGAAAATCAATGCTTATTTCAGTATCTTTCCTAAATTAAAGTAAGGCTTATAGGACGATTTCTTAGATTGCTTCTTCACATTCCTTAGTGCTACTTATCTCCATTGGTGCCATCGGTATATCAAAGTTTTCCTTGCTATTGTCTAACAGAGGCCACATTCTACTTCTGGTAACTGTTCTCCAGCTTCATCATCACTTTCAGGTAGATGAGACCACTTTGCCTATTCTACATGAAATTTCGACTCCTGAGGTCAGTTTTTCACACTAATGCATTTCTTCTTATTCCATGGCTCTCCCTTTTTCCATCACTTGTTGGGCATTTCAACTTTCGAAATACATCAACATCACTTTCTGCTCTGGATAAATGGATTATCAAAATATCAAAATGATATTTCGCTTCACAAAATATCATTTTATCATTTCTATTATTTCTTATTTAGGCATCAGAATTACTCCAAAGGGAAGTATAAGCTCTGATTCCGCCCATTTTTCAGACTAAATAATTTTTGTTGCTATAGCAGATGAATTATTTCTTGATCTGTTGATAGTGATTAATTGAACAGTTTTTCATTCTTTTTTTTTTGTTGATCAGTCTCATCATCTCTCCATATCTATGAAATCTTTAGATTTTCCTTGGATGATCAAATGCAAGAAAGTATAAAATTTCAGATTCGTGTTGTGCTATCCATTTTCGATCCACTATGTAATATTCCGAGGTGCCTTTCTCTCTTTTTTAAAACCCTTGGTATTATTGCTATTATTATTGTTGTTACTATTATCATCGCTATTATCATTATTATCAACATTATTACCAATAATTATTACTATTATTAGATATTATTAGACGAGCATGGCTGTATATTTATTTCTTTTTTTTCTTACATGTCAATTTATACAATTTATTGTTTCACATGACGTCGTAAACTATCATCTTTGTTTTCACGTATGATTGTCATGATCAGTAGATGATCATAGGAAATTTATGATTCTAAACGTTTCGTTTTTTATTCAAAAAAATCTTTTGCATCTATTTTATTCTTATATAATCCGCTTAAAAGTGTGTCGTTTTTTGTTTTCTATTTTGTAATTTAAATGACTCATATTTAGATTACTTCGTTTCAATTATATGACACCCCTTTAATCCATTCCACACTTATCATATAGTTCGTGATGATAGTCAGGAGGATCAGATAGATCCAAAAATCCAAATTTAATTTTAAACATTTTTTAAAATTCCACTTTGTACTAACTTCTTTTGCATACAGATATTTCGTAGTCTTGTAAGCAAGATTTAAGTTTATTCTATATGACTGATATCTGTTAGCCATAACTTAAACACTGAAAGATCGTAATTTCATTCATTTAAATCCCAAATCAATATTGCACCATTTCCTTATTTGTTCTTATTATATATTTAACTGCTAGGAAGTCACTAATTACCAAAAAAAAAATAACTTTGCTAATTAACTGACTTATCATCTACGATCTTACTGCCATTTCAGAAGAATTACGGTAAGAACTCACTAGTAAGAAAAAACCACTGAAGGCAATAATCGGAAAAAAAATGAAGTATAGAATATATAAATTTCTAAAATTGAAATTGAATTTTTCGAAATTTTTCTCAGCTTGCTTTAACCAGGTTTTAAGTATTTGTTACGCTGTAATTAAAGGATGTCTCTTTTTGCATCATATAAGAGTTTTAATATTTTCAAATTTTAATT